ATTTTCTGGTAAAATTGAGAAAATATACGTAAACTTTCTCTAAATAGTACCATAGAACTTAAACACATGTGGAATATTTACCATGTCTCCATATTCGTTTAAGCCCAACTTGAAACTAACTTCCCCCTTCTCAAACCTAACATTGTGCTTGGCAATCTTTTCACGATTTTCCATGAATATTTTCAGTCGGAATTGTTCTTCTGTACTGCTATCATACTTCTTTTTATATTGGACCTGCAAAATGATATTTTGTCGTATTAATCCTAACACGATCCACAATGGAATTACGGAGAAAAAATATATTAAGAGAATTTATGGGCTAGAAACAAATATAATTTTTCGAACCTTAAATGTATTCCATTCTTGAATAACTAAATCGGAAAATGAAACAGCTTGGCTCGCACAAACCAATGCTAAAAGAAAAATAATACTCCTCCTGCCCATTGCTCTATATTTTTGTTATTCTGGAACAAAGAAAACGACCCTAGAGAGCTTTCTGAAAGCTCCAAGAAAACAAGTAATAACCATTTTGAGATTGAGAGTTGCAAATGAAAAGGCTTTAAATATTGTGCCAACTAGTTACCTTTTAAAACGCACAAAAACAAAGAACCAGAAACAAATCACAACTCCGCTGTACGCACATACAACTCTCAAGAACAGGATCTGCGAACTGAATGCCACGAAGATCCAAACACCAAAGATAGGAGTTAGGAGAAAGATCCGAGCTGTATGGGAGATGTGTTTTTAGGGTCTGTTTTTTCAGTTTTTGAGTGATTCCCCCCTCCCCCCTTCCAATCTCTTCCAGTTCCCGTGATACATTGAGCAAATGCTAAAATGGTCCCTTGTTTTGCTTCTGGACATCAATGTAGCTTCACTATGCGCACGCTTGTTGAACTCTTCTTGTGCTTTTAGTGGTATGAACAGAGAAAGGGCGAGTTACTATTTTGTTAGCAATGCGGAAAAATCAAGTCTGCACTTTGTTTACAGTTGCAAATAACTTTTCTATAACTCGGGAAAGATAATGTCGAGTTTTTCATGTTGCTAATCTCACGCCTTTTTTAATAAATAAAAACAAAAACATTTCCTTATATTTCTCCTATATATACTTTAAATGATGGGAAGGAATTCTGCAACTCAAGAAAATGGGCGGAGACGATCTTCTCCCTCAAATGTCACATATTTTTTACTAAAATGTATTTCAAGAGTTGGATCTGCCGTGTGGAGACGAGTGTTCTCGTCAAGGAAAAGAACGCCACTTGATGGAAGTTCTCTGCGTCGGCTTTGTATTACAGGCTGCGGCTCCCACTCCTCTGCACCGGTCCCTGCTGTGATCTGCTGGTGTTCCAAAATTCGGCCCAATAATTTCCCAGAAGAGAGAGAAACGACCTCATTGGCGAAGGGTTAATGGGAGACTGTTGGGACGACCAGGTCGTTACTTGTCAATGATGTCAATTGCCCTTTGTAAAGGCCTCTTACCCACTCGAATTTATTGTTTCATTAAAGAAGCTGTCGTCATACCTTTCAGGAAACCTATGAATGTCTCTAGTTTTTATGCGCATCTGACTACAAAAACGTTTATCTTGCTTCTGTTCAGTCATTAGCGTATTCAAAGCGATACAAATTTTACTTAACTCAACAATATAAAATACTTGTAAATGTAATTATCTAACACGTAAAACCGTCATTAGCAAAGATCAATAAATATCATGGCGTTCAAAATAGCCGAGTACAAAGCATATTAAAATAGCAATAGAAAATAGAGGAAAACTACAAGGAGGGACAACAAGAACCGGTTACTTGCCACTGTTTGCGACTCGAATCTTCTTAGAATAAGTAACTATTGGTGCCACAGTACTGGTTTGCATTATTTGTTACATTTGCATTTTCGAAAATTCAAAAACTTCAACGAAAATGAGACGTACGCCATTCTATTAAGCGTCCCTTGTTCCATCAGTCCATCATAGGCGTTTTGCCGTCAAGTGATTTTCCGGACTCTAGGACCCATAAAACATTGATTCTGATTACAGAACGTCATAGAAGGTGAAAATTACTACATTTAAGCACAATATTTATCCATTTTGTTAGTTACCAGGACCTGGAAATGAGAATTTTTCTATCAAAAAATTTGTTGTTTGTACTTGTGATAGTGCCCCGGAAATCGGCGACACTACGACAGAAAAACTCTAATTGCTGGGACCTGGTAACAAAAGAGTGGATAAATCTTTCTATTCATAACACGTCACACGTTGTGTAGTGTAGAACCCTTCTTTTGTGGGTCCTCAGTAGGGAGAAATCAATTATAGACAAAATGTCTCTCTGCCTGTGGTCCAGACGCTGATTAAACAACATCAGTGATGATGGATATATTTTTCTTAATAAAATCTGTTGTTCAAAGACAGAACGTGAAATAAGGCCATGAACAGTTGTTTTTGTAAATGAGTAGTTTCCGCGTATTTTCCGAAAAATATCATTTTAAAACATTTATTTTCTTAAAAACGACTTCTAAGATTATCATTACATTTTCATGTCGTGTGTATCAAAGGATGGTAAAAAAAACTGGTGCTAATCACATTTTCTTAGAACACTGTTTTTTCGAAAGTTGCAGAAAGTTAATGTTCTAAAACTACAATAATGACGATAGCTAATTGTCTTAAACGAAACCTGTTCTTAAAAGTGAGGTTTTTAAAGAAGTCATTAACACCTTTTGGGGGAAAACGAGTTGTGTTCACATTTTTGGCTTGAAGTTAATGCTACGTGTAAAAATAATATTTTCTCAAAATCTGCTCCAAGATTTTTGTTTAAATATTTTTCTTCGGAATAAACATGAGGCAATTAAAAGAATACCGTATATCTAACCTTCATTGAATTCGGAATTTTCGAAAATTGCAAAAGTTATAAATAATGCGAGAAAGTATATGCCGTTTATAGCTCTAGTATCTTGCAGCGTTACAAAACCTCTGCTCTGCGTAAGAAGTACGCGAGGAAGTAAAAATTTGAGAAGGGGATCTGCCCCCGGCCACCTGGCAATGAACATCTGGACAAAAACAAACTAGCGAGACGCCACCAATGTCACTATCCGATCAGGCATTTTAAAGTTGTGGGTAACGCATAGAGCTCTCTAGAGTTCGAGGGCTCTTCGTGCAAAGCAGCTGACGCGAGATTTAAATGTGAGGTGTTAAAGCATCAAAGTAGTCCTTTAGCATTTAGTGGGAGAGCAAAATAGATGAAAATTTTAACTCTGACTGTGGTATTCTAACAGAACAATCCAATCATTTTCAGGGGTGGCCACGAACCTGGATTCTTTGAGGCCAACATTTTTCCAGGTTTCATTAGTAGTATTATTTAAGAAACCGTGACAAGTAAAACGAGAAAGTACCGGTTGTATTGTAGCACTTCTGTAGTAAAGTAGTAAGATGGAAAATAAAATTATGCTAAAACGTCACCTCCTATATTTGTCATTTTTCTTCCTAACGGATTAAATAATTCAAATTAGAGTGTTTGAGCTTGCACTTTGTTTTGGTAGTCACTTTTTACGGTTGGAGGAAGTTACCCAACAATGTTGCCTAATAATTCTTATCCTAATACACTTACATATCCTACATACAATTTCCACACATCCTAATAGCTTATGTGGCATCTCCGACGGTTTAAAAATTTTTAAAAGCGTTTTCATCTTTATACATTTAAGTTTTTTTCATTTTATTTCTATGAAATGGCCGTGTCCCACCAGCAGACCGATCGTGAGACGCGTCGAAAGACACCAACCAAACGTGAGCAGGGAGTAAATGACACTCGAAGTTACACGATGACTCGTGTAAATGTAATAAAATTTTTGTTAAAAATACGACTGGACAATTCTCAAGTCCATGAGCAGTGCTACATATTGCTAATATGCCAAAAGGATCTTATTCCAATCTTTGATAGTTACTGATCTATTCATAAGATTTAAAAATAAAGGGCAGGAATTTGTGTTTTATGAAATCCATTAGAGTCTATGCACAACAAATTTTGATTACAGTATAGATTTTGCACAATGTGCATATAAGAGCCAAGATACACTAAAACGCATATTTCTGCATTCTCTGCACAAGTGCTGTGTAATGTGACATGGCAGCAAACTCAGTACAATCAGTATTACCAAGAGCATTGTTGGAAAAAAAGTCACGATTTATTTTCCCGTACTATAACCGCAGTCAAGCCTCGTGATCTCATATTATCTGTTAGATAGATTTGTTAAATTTGCCCAGAAATAATAAAGCATAAAGTTTGTGTTGTTTCAGTTGTCGTTTTCCCACAAGACGTTAAAAGGAACTTGAAGCCTAACATTGGTGTCTTTTTATTCAAAATGAAAACAATTTATACAAAGCAGGAGAAAATTAACATTTATGGAGAAAGTTTAAAAAAAAATTCCAATGTGGTCCATAAAGTGGAGCAACAGTTTTATTCATTCGATCACACACTTCGACGTGCGCGCGCAGGGGGGGGCTTGCTCTGGTAAAAATGTTGAGAAGTCTCGTAACCTTACGTAGTTAACTATTTTATTTTCATTTATGTTTATCATGGCCATCATTATTTTCATTTATGGTTATCAAATGATCTTCGTTCATAAACATCTTCTTTAATTAATGTCGTGTACGCTTTTTTCAAAACTATGAGAAGCAATCTCGAAATTTAGATTAAATTTCGAATTCTTTTGTAAAATTGGAAATACGAAGCAAAAATTCAAACAATTTCTTCAAATCTCTTATTTTTACCGTTTCGTGTACGTACGTATGTACGGAATAAAGAGCTGGGGAAAATAGATTTCGAGAATTCAAGGAAAATTCGCGTTTGGGGGTCCCCTTATATCGAAAAAGGGTTTGCGTCCGTTGTCTCTGTCGGTCCGTCCATGATACTGTCGCGAGTTGAGGGGGAGAGAGAAGACCTGACCAACTCGTGCAGAAAGTAAAGAGAATATCCTTTAATTAATCTACTCACCCGCGTAGTGGACCCTACGTCCTGGGAGCAAGTGGCGTAACGACGGATTGCTCCGGCAGCTTGCGACGTAATGAGAGGGGCGAGATGTCTGTCCCTCGCCATTTTATAGCCTGGAAACGCTGGCGTCGGCAGGTGACAACTGGGTCACTCGCCGGCGGCAGCGTGTCGCGAGGGCCGGAATGCCAAATCGCATGTCTGTGAAGTTTGCACCACCACCATAACCAAAACCACTGAAACTATTACCCTTCTTTGTAGCTTGTTTGTACCCATTTGTACCACAAGAACTTTCGTTTGTACCAAAACCACTTTCAAGATACAGCACTTATGGCTGTGGAGCCAATTTCACACTGGCACCGCGACCATCGTAAATGTATTTCAAAACATTATGAATCGTTTGTACTTCGTTTGTACTTCGTTTGTACCAGATAGTTGCACAAGAATTTTTGTTTGTACCAAAAAACTATTGAGGATATTGCCATTTAATGAGGTGGCGGGCGGTGAACTGGAACTTTACCACCATTCTCGTCACAGCAACCGTGGAAAAAAGTATAATCGTAATCAATCGATTGTACCTGGTTTATACCGGATAGTTCCACAAGAATGAATGAAAATACAGCCATTTTAGGTGGCGTTTTATAACGCATTTCTACCCATAACTTTAAGGGCGATACCATCACCGTAGAAATGTGTAACCATACTCGATCGTTTTCACCTGACGTTTTTCGGTTTTACCATCAGAATATTCGTTTTAACTAAAGTATTGGTATCAAATGATTTACTTTCAACAAATTTTGATTGTTTTAGAAATTTCAATGTTCATGGTCTATGTTCATTTTCTATGTCCAAGCAAGACCTTGTTTTGGAGAGCACTTGATATTATTAACCACTCACTTTCTAGATATGATGGCAATAATCGTTGGTGTATGCTTTCATGCTCTTGTTATGATGGCTAGTTTCGGCTGGGGAATATGGTTCTACCTTCGTATAGTTTATTTATAATATTTACTGATATTTTGCCACCGCTTCTCATTGTCCTGTGACACCCATTATTCCTGCTCTCCTTATATCTTATGGGCTTGGTTCTCCCATCCTCGTTTTCGGAATTATTTATATAAATATTAAAAGATTCATAAAATGTTTTAATCTGAGTAATTATTAATCAAATAGTTCACGGAATTACAATGTTTGTTTTTAAAAATAAATTGAATGAACTATAAGAAACTAAATATGTATTTGTATATGAGAAATTTAGAAAGTAATTTCTACTTTGTAAAGAATTGTTAATTCACGTCTGTATTGGAAGGATGATTTATTGTATCATAATTACTGTTTTTTGAATTATTCACTAATAGTTTTTTTTTGTTTAAAAATTTTTCTAAAGGAGTGCCCAGTATAGTTTTGGGTTATTAGGCCTACAGTATCTAAATCCGTCCATTGCCAAAATTAATAATTACATTTGTAATAATTAATTACATTTTATTGAACTTGTAAGAGGAATGTTATACTTAGCCTTTGGTAGTTTTAGTAATTTAATAGAAACCCCTTTTTGTTCAGCATTATATTTTATCTAATTGTTTGCATTTCCTGAGTAGTAGTAATGCATGTTCTCATGTCTTATTTTAAGAACATTTAAATGTATTTTCATTTTGGGTGCAACATCAAGACAAACGATTACAAAAGACTATGCCACTTGGAAATCTCTTTTGAAGATTTTATCTCCAACAATGTTACATTTTAATTAATGAATGTCTCAATAATACAGCTCTCAGAATTATATGATATTAATAAAACTTTCCACATTAATGTAATCTTAATTAATATCACAACATGATATAAAATTATGCTCAAAACCTGCTATTAGTTTCTATGAATTGTATAATCGCACTCGTAGAAATAATATGACTTATTTTATATGCAAAAATAGTTTTAAAATTTCAATCAAAACAATTAAAAAATTAAAAATTGATAATGCAGTGTAATTAAATAAGAAAAAATAAAATAGGGGAATGACAGAAAAAACAAAAAATATATTGCGATATGGATAATAAGGAACCGTAGGAGTCAATGATTGCGATTTCTTCCAAACAGAACCACTCTGTTGATCTTGTTGTCAAGCCATCGAATAATCTACGTTTGTCTTACCATTGGCCCAGGTAATTAAAGAATGAAAAATTAGAGAGAAACAAACACTAAAAAAAATTGAAAACTATTACGTCACTGTTCTCGTGATATTGGGGGTATTATATGGTTATCTCTCATATTCCTCTTTTTAAATAAACCTTCCGCCGATTCGCTCAGATTGTGATATTTACCGCGTGTCGATCGCGCAACGAATAGTATTCAAAGTGATTCAAAACAGCGAAACGTGAGAAGCCTGAAGCATAAGCAGTCTTGGCAATCTCAAGGACATTACATTTACAAGTAGTTTTCGCTTCTCTTGAACATGGAAATTTATTAGTGATCAGCGTCCAAAAATATATAGATATGTGTCTGTAATGTTACTTTTTATGACTTTGCTCGTACGAATTGTGTAATAGTGCTTCTTTATGTTCAATCTAATGCTTCAATTTTTAATTCTGTTGCCACGCGATTTGTTGGTACAAGTTAAGAAACTAGTCAACGGTAGCTCTTTATATGGTATTCAAATATTTTCATATTACATTTATTAAAACGAACTTAATCGAATAATTAAATAAAACTCTGCATAAAAGTCGCAATTTGGTTCATGTAGGTCTCACAATACCCACATATCTCGCAAATAAATATTTTTGAACGTAATATGAACTCTCTATTAAGGAAAATCTCGCTCTAACCACCCTAACCCACAGGCGTCTAACGAATTCCAGTTGAATTGAGCACTGTCCGAGTTTTGAGGCACACTTCCTTGTGCAACTGTCATTTTGCTTCAGAGTGCCTTTTTTATAGATTTTCTTTTTATTTATTTTCTTGGTTAAATCTAATTTATCATACTTAGGCTCTATTAAAATATAATAATGCTCTCGGGAAAGACTGTGGACGAAATTTCTTGAAATTCGAACAAGTTCAAATTGTCTAGTCAATATTACAATTAACCCGCCGTTACTCGCGCTTATTTGTTTTACGCGGTTACTAGCTTGTTAAATTATTTCTCACATATGTTACAGTATTTATTACTTTATTATGGATGAAACACATGCATCAATATTCTAGTATATTTGTTATCGAGTTGTATAACATGTATAAATATAAAATTGCGTAAATGTCTTTTTCGCTCATCATACCACCCTCTCACAACGATTTCAGATTATGAAACTACATCGTGCCCGAGCGTCACGCCTTACTTGTATTCCTCCCCACAATACCTCAACTTTTAGTAAATCATTCTCTGTTACTCCCATTCGTGCTTGGAACAATCTTCCCTCCTCTATAAAAAATAGTTGTACATTTCAAAGGTTTAAAAAAGAAGTCACAAAACTGAATTCACGAAAATACTACTTAACGACATTGCCTCTGCTCGTCTGCAAATACTGAGAACTGGGTGGACGCCGTGCTGTTTAGCGCTGTGACGAATCCCTTTCTTATCCCAATCCTACCCATCTTACACTGTTCTACTTCATTTTCCAAACAAACACTTTCATCTCATCCTTTCTCCTTTCCATATTATTTCTTTCATTCTCTTCCTCTCTCCCCTCTTTCTTCTTTTCTCCTCTTCTCTCTTACTTTCTTTCTCTCTTTCAAAATTTGAATCTAAAACCCATCGTTTCTTTGTTTCCTTTCTCTCTTACTTTTAATTTTCATTCTATGTTATTTAACTCTTTCTTTCCTCTTAATTTAAACCTATTATTTTATTTATTTAAATTTCGTTTAATTTTGCAATTATCCTCATTAAGTCACATTTACATTTATCCTTATTAAATAATTTGAACACTCTGTAATCTAGCCATTTGTCATTAAACCTACTTGTACACTCCCAATCGTGTTATAATAACCGATAAAAAATCAACTTCTCAACACATACAACGCTTTTATTACAGAACAATTTCGTCTACAGTGCTGTATGCACATGGACTGTTGCTCCTTATACAAGCTATTTCAAACCGGTCAAATATTTCTCTTATTAGGGCCAAAGTGTCTTCCTTCTTTCTTTGTGTCCATGTTAGTTTATCAGCGAATCTAATTGTTTGGAAAAGACTGTAAAAATCTTCGTTTACGTATTGTTGCAAAACGCCGACATTTCTTTAGTCTGTTCTCGAAGAGTCCCGTGTATTTAGTGAACAAGAAAATCTATGATTCGATCTAATTCTACGTCAGTGTATGCAATAATATTAGAGATAGTAGTATCAATGAAGAACACTTTTCAACAATCTAGAACAGATTTCAAGTTTCTGCACACATTTTTTACACCTGGCAGCCGCGTTACAATGTTCTTTTGAGTCTTCTTTGTTGAAGGCATTGTGT